GAAGGGAGGGGGTGAGCGGGGACACCGGCTGTTCCGGGGCTGTGCCCAAAGCCAGAGTGGTCCCTAGAAGGCAGGCACAATGGGGAGGGGCTCCGGGGCCGCCCGGGGCACCGCGATCTCCAGCACTCTGCACCACGCTCGTCTTCTCTCCCTTTCCAGCGGCCGGGAGGGACTGGCACACCCCGTAGCTGCCTCTTCGTTTCCGCCTGAGACCGGATCGGGCAAGCCTCGGCCACTGAGACCCCGAGGAGACGGGGAGCGCGCTTGGGGGCTGGAGCGGGAGGGAGACACTCAATTCGTGGAAGGAGTCTTTCCGCAACCCCAGGTGGAGAGACGTGCCACTGACGCCCGGAGGTGTCCCCAGGCTCGGGGCATCCCGGCCTTCTGAAGGAGCCTGGAGGAATGGCCCTCCAGGCACTCCGGGATTATCCTGGAAGCTGCTCCCGCTACCCCCTCCCTCTCCCCCTCCCCCTCCCCTGGGTGAATATCTTTAGGAGTTTTAGGTCTAACCTACATGCTGGACACCAAAGCTTAACTTTGAACTCCTCCTCCTACCAACCATCTTTACCATTAGCTGAGCGCCTACTATGTGCCAGGAGTGATTCATTAATTAATGTCTACAATTATCCTAGATTAGCTATCACCTTAGTTTCCCCATGTTATGGATTTAGAAAGTGTCCCGTTGAAGCTCAGTAACTTGCCCAAGATCCGGTGGCTAGAAGTGGAACCAGGATTGGACTCCAAAACCTGCTTCCCTAACCAGACAGCCTTGACTCCCAGGTCCCCCACCTGGCCCACTGCTGGCTGGTAGCTGCGGCGAACTCCCTAGGCTCGGGTGCCCTTGGTGGCCACAGGAGGAACGCGGTGGAGCTGGGGGGGCGGGGGGGCGCTCCCCGCACCCCGCACCAGGGTGGCCCGCTGGTGTCTGGGGAGAGAAGGGGACGCCCGCCGCTGGAATAGGCGGTAGTGAGCCGTGGTTGCTAGGCTGGCTCGCAGTCTCCACAGCACCAAGGACCCCTGAGGGTCCTCGTCGGAGCTGCACTTGACCCATTTACTTCCTGACGTCCTTATTGTTGCCTAGATCAGAGGCTCACTCTGGGCAGCATAGGGGATGACTCAGAGGGAAGTGTGGAGGCTGGGAGGCAGGAAACCTACAGCTCCCCAGGGCTGGAAGGGGAGTAGGTAGAGCCCTGTGCCTTCACAGATTAAGGGAGTTTCTGTCTTAGAGGCAGGTAAAACAGCACCGTGAACAGTGCAGATCTCCAGCCCAGGATTCTTACAGGGTCGCCAGGCTCATAGTAGTCCATCCAAAGATACACACACACCCCCCCCACCCCCCCCACCACCACCACCCCACCCCCCACCCTCCAATCCCCAGGCCCAGGGAAGAGAATTGAAATCTGTAATTCTGTAATTACTTGGGTTGAGACTTACAGAAATCAAACTGTATACCAATGGCGGAGAAAAACGACCCATTTTCCACTTTCCCCCTCTTATACAGAATGGGAATCTTTTACACAAACTGCTATGTAGGAGGGAAAACAAAGTTCAGATTGTTGACATTACACACAGAGGGTTCCTGAACCCCAGGCAAACCAAGGTGAAAACCTAAAAATCTCTTCCTCTAGACAACACCTCAAACAGGGTTTTCCTCCTGACCCCTGTTATCCACAGGACACCTTCCACACCGCCTGCCCCCGACTTAGGCTCACGTCAGCCTAGACTAAAACTCAGTAAACAGAACAAAACCACAAATACTATCATCCCCTGAAAATGATGATGGCCCGGGAGCTAGAGGCCAACTTTGGGTTCAAATTTCAGCTCAAATACTTAGTAACCTTTGTGACTTGGGAGGTCACTTACCCTCTCCAAACCTTAGTTTCCTCTTCTATGAAAATAAAAATAATAATAGTACCTTCTTCGTTTGACTGTTGTAGAATGACAAATACATACGTAGCATTTGGCATGCGATTAATAAGATTGGCAAATTTTAATGAATGAGGTGTAATGAATGGACAGGAAAGCAAACAAAGCTTAGTAGCATTAATCTATAAGGACTGAGTGGACATAAATTTGGTACATTTATCATAGATTAAGCCTGAGAAGAGAGGAGCATGTATTTCAAGGGAATTAATGGAAGGTTTAAAAGAAAATATAGTCAAGATCCAGCAGTAATTAAAAGGAAAAAAGATAAAAGGTTATTTATGTTCTTGGTGTGGTAACATCTCTGGGATATCTCTTACCGGTAGTTGTAACTAATGTAATTAAAGAGATAACCCTACTAGTTATGAAACCTGATTTCAACTTATACCTAAAGTGGATCCTTATTGAAAAGCTGAATAAACACCAAGACATCTCTCTGGAAGACTTTGCTGACAACACTGCCTAGGGATGTGAACATTGGAACAGTAATGTGCAAAGGGAGGGTCCATTGTTAGAGAGCATCCTCCATGATCCCAGAAATACAATGAGAAGGCAAAAGGTAAGCACCCTTAAGAGATCACCATTCAAAGTCATCTCTGAATATGAAGTATATAAATGCTGACTGAAAGCCATCACTAACCACGTGCTATTAATCTTCACTATAATAGTCATTCATTTATTTAGTAAATATATGGTGGGCACCTACTCTATGTCAAACATTTTCTATAAGCATGCGGGTGTTGTGTTGAAAAGACAGATGTGGTCCTTATCTACTGGGAGCTTACACTCCAGAGTGGGAAGGAATCATTGTAGACATAATAAAGATGGAGCGTGTGCTGTGAAGTGGGAAAAATAGGATAGATAGAATCCATAATTGGTGCAAATAAATCAGTTTGAGGATTTGGATGAAGTGTCCCTCATGAAGTGATTCTTCAATTCAGATTTGAAAGATGGGTAAGCCTGATGAAGAGTTGAGGGAAGAATATTCCAGGAAGAAGAAATACAGTAAGTATGTGCAAATATCCTGGGCCAAGAGAGGAGAGCATGATGAAGAATGAAGGGAGAGCAGTAAGACTAGGGGACAAGGGTCAGTGAGTTCTAAGGGTGATGTGGTTAGAAAGCTGAGCAGAAGTAATTTGGGACCATGGATCTATTGTAGAGGAGTGGCAAGATGAGTATGAATCACCCCGGAGGAAGATAGTAATGGCTGTAGGGGATCTGTTATGGCAGGAGTCCAGGTGAGAGGTGATTTTGGTCTGAATTAGGATAGTGACTGAAGATGGAGAGAAGTGGCTGGAGTTATGTGGGATAACTGGCTAACCTTTGTGACAGATGGGATGGGGGGGCTGGGAGGGAAGAATTCAAGGATGGCTCATGCATTTCTGGTTTGCACAGCCCAGTGGTGGTGGTGGAATAAAGTTGATGGGGATGATACAAGAGCACAAACTTACCAATTACTAGTAAAGTGTTATCAAGTATATGGCTTCCTGAATGCACTGTAATATACAAGTAAGAACCATTTTAAAATAACCTCCCCATAAAGCATATATGAATGTACCTTTATTTTTATATGCTAATGAATATTCCTAGAGCAGTTTAATTTTATCAAAT